AAGCCAAACAAAGCATTCAGTGACGATCCGTATACGCGGGTCTGCGGTTCGTCGACCGATGCACTCTCCGAAAAAACGGACATGTATTTCATCCTTACAAACACCCCCGGTCGTGCCAAGGAGTTTCCTATGCAGTCCCGTATGTCAGCCGCTTTCTCCTCAACCTCACGAAACAACGAATAGTTTCGAACCTGACCTGCTATCACCAAATCTGGCCACCCATCCACACGTTCAGGCCCACGCATCGGCACGAATTTGGACCCTTCAATCACAACCTCGTTGCGCGACACGAGCACAACTGCGTCGACGAGTTTCCTGCTCTTGTTCGAAGCAGCGACACACAGAACTCAGGCGAAATCAGATCCGGATACAGTCAACCGCACACAGCAATACGACACAACTCGTGGAGAAATCCCGGGGCCACGGAGCGGGTACTGGTCCAGGAACGAGCAGCGACGAGGACAGTCCACCAATTGTTGTTTCCGCGAGCCACCCCAAGTTCGTGGCGACGACCTGACGTTGTGGCACCCGAGGCGACTGAAATAGCGGCTAATGCAGCTTAGTGCTTTCCGCATATGGTTCAGGAACTTATGTCCGAGGACGGCGTCAGGCAGTGGGATGAGGTCCCCGAACTCCAACATATTTGCGAACTTGTATTGGCTTACCCAAGGGCAGCGAGTCTCCATATTGTCCCAATTGCCCTCGCCCCAGTCGTCAAGATGCGCGTCCATGCACGGGACGACGGTCATCCATGGGTCCTCGTCGAAGTCCTCTGTGGTCGCTCCGTGGATCGTTGTCACAACGTTGAAATGCCGTACGGATTTCGCACAAGGACGAAAAGGTTCTGCTAAGCGAATGTGCGTCTCGGCACTCATGGCCCGTGGTCTCGAGAAGATCGACTCGAAGATGCGTGGTGTCGAGAAGGTCCCCTCCATCACGCAACCTGCACACCACGCGCACATGCCCGACGACACACACGGGCACGGAGACACTCGTAAACCCGTCATGTCTCTCCATGTGCGACCCATGGCATTAGACGCAGTGTATGCCCCAAGATCCAATTTCAGGCGGCCGGCTTCGTCGGTGTTCACATCTACCGGCCCGCGGGCCAGCCGCAAACATGCCCTGCGACATGTTCGCCTGGATCCGAACTTGGCGAGACTGCGCTGGAAAGACGAAGCTGTCTCCCAAACCCGACGTCCAAAACTGCCAAGAAGTTCGGATCCAGGCGGACTTCAATTTCGTACGAATAAAAAGTTGTGGCAATCCACCGGTCGCCAGGAAGTCCACATTCAGAACCTGCACCACCCGAAAGGTGAAGCACACCGGGGTCCGAAGTCGACGGTTTTCCGACGAACCGTGCACGGGAAGTTCGGATCTCAGCAGACTTTGCATTTTATAGAATCCGTTGTCCGCCGTGATCCAAAATTTACGATTGTCTGAGGAACCGTGCACGGCAGGTTCTGATCCACGGCCCAGCAGGAACATCTCCTGCCACATGCATTGCGAAAGGAAGACAGCTCAAATTCGCCGGGATCCGAACTTGCGAAAGGAACATCTCGTGCCACATGCATTGCGAAAGGAAGACAGCAGGTTTGGATCCATGGCCCAGCAGGCGAACCCGACGATGGGACGAGGAACCTTTGCACGACAAGTACGGATCCTGACGGACGTCGCATTTTTGCGAAACAAAAGTTGTGGCAAACCCCCGTTCGCGAGAAATGACACAGTCAGTACCCACACCATGCGCGACGCGAAGTTCGTCGGGGTCCGAACTTGCCACGCGAGGTCCGGATCCACGGGAGGGTGTTCGCCGGGATCCGAACTTCTCGAGACCGCGTGGGAGAGAATCAACCGGCGGGCTACACATTTTTTCAAATACAAAGTTGTGCCAAACCCCGGGAGCCAGAAACCCGCGTTCTGAACCCGCACATTGAGACAAGCGAAGTCGCCGGGGTGCGAACTTGACGTCTGTGCGAGGAACCGTGCAGTAGAAGTCCGGATCCCGGCGGACTTCGCATTATCACGGATCCGAGGTTCGCCGAGGTCCGGACTCGACGAGTGTGCAGGGAATAGTGTGAGCGAGGTTTGGATCCACAGGCCAGCAGGAAACTGTAGTTGGCCGGGATCCGAACTTGGCGAAATTACGTGGGAGATACACACCTGTCTGCCAAACTCGCCGTCCTGCAATTTCTTGAAGTTCGGATCCCGGCGGACTTCATATTTTTCCACGTCCCAGGCTGTGGTTGCGGACCGGGGTTGCGAAGCGTGTTCGAGCAGCTGCATGAAGTTCGCCGGGATCCGGACTTGGCGAAATTGCGTGGGAGACATACACCTGTCTACCGAACTCACCGTCCAGCAATTTCTTCAAGTTCGGATCCCGGCGGACTTCCAATTTTTACACGTCCCAGGCTGTGGTTGGGGACTGGGGTTGCGAAGCATGTTCGAACAGCTGCATGAAGTTCGCCGGGATCCGAACTTGGCGAAATTGCGTGGGAGATGCACACGTTCCTGCCAAACTCGCCGTCCAGCAATTTCTTGAAGTTCGGATCCCGGCGGACTTCTAATTTTCCACGTCCCTGGCTGTGGTTGCGCACCAAGGTTGAGAAGCATGTTCGAACAGATGCACAAGCTCGCCTGGATCCCAAATTCTTCCGGTGTTTGATTGCGCGATCAGTTCGGTTGGAATGGCCACGTTCCGATCACGAGAACAGTGTCGGCGACGCGTGGGGTGGTGGGTGCTCAACGTTCGCCGTTCAGTGACCGTCAAGTGTCGACGACCCTACGTCCTCCAAAGTTCGACGTCCGACGAGGTTCGACGCCAGCCAAGGTTTGATGTGGAGCCAGGTTCCATGGGCAGCATGGTTCGATGTTATACGAGGTTCGATGTGCAACAAGATTATGACGAAGTGCTTTTTATTCGTTCGAAGATCGGGATCGACATTTTTTCGATCGGTTGTGCGTTTCGTTCGCCGGTTTCGATCGCGCACATGATCATTTGCCTTGAGGATTCTCCGCGATCGTTCTCCATGATCAATTAGCACAGAACAGTCGATTGGGTGATCGGCTGCTCGGTTGGCGGTTGGTGTGGTGGTTGATCAACCAGCAGAGCAATCGCCAACTGAGCTGTCGACCAATCAGTTGATCCTGACAGATTTCCTGACCGATCGACGGTTCGGTCGAGGACTATCAGGTGGGTAAATAAACAGGTCGCTCGCCGGCGGGTTGATCTTCGGTGCAGCACACACGATCAATCATCCGATCGCAAGTAATCTTCTGTCCTTTCGCAATTGGTCAGTTGGATGCGTTGTCGCCTCGTGCATTGGTTAATCATCCATCGGGCAGATCAGCGGCGCTGTTGTTGGGGAAGCAAACAGCATCTATCACCCGATCGCGAGTGGTCTGCTTGCGTTTCGTGATGGGTCGGTTCATCGTGTGTGTGGTGTACATATTGTCATGGATCTGATCGACCATCAGATCATGAGTCATCTGAACACACACGACAAAAAGAACAACACACACGCGGTGGTAACGTCGATACGGCAGACACGACCAATCATCCGATCGCGAGTGATCTAATCGTGTTTTGCGATTGGTCGATGGATGCGTTCGTTGTGTCGACATGGCCACCGCGTGTTTCGATTGATCATCCATTGGGCAGATCGGCGGACATGACATTGGGACAGCACACAAAACCAATCGGGTATGGCAAGTGCTCACGATGATGTTGTGTTTCATTATTGGCCGCCGCGTGTTCGATCCGAGCTTCCGTGCTTCGCCACTTGAGTACAGCACGAGCAAAATTGTTTGTTGATACTCTCCTCACACATCCTCACACATCCACACACAAGCGGAATCGAAGGGCGAACCATGACGTTCGTCCCTGACCGCACACGTTCGCGCGCATCTCCCCCCGGAAAACGCGCGCGAACACACACGCATGCGAACACATATGCACAGACAGGCACACACACGCACACACACACACACACACACACGCGTCGACACACGGTACCCGCACACACACGCCCCTCAGGTACAGACGCGCACACGATCCTGCCTCGCGCGTGTGGCACACACTTCAATACAAACACAAACACAAAGGAACACGCACTCGAACACACACACACACACAATGAAGCATGCACAAACACACGATTGCACACAAACACACACACACACACATGCCCACCCGCACACATGCAGCCACGAAATCTTGCGATCTGCGCGAGCATATCGTCACAAAAAACCTCCCCCGCACGCGCGCAGATGCAAACATACATCCCGGCTGCGTGCGCACTCACCGTGTGGAACTGCCGAGTGAAGATGAGGGCGAACCCCAGCGTTTGTCGTGACGGCACTTTGTCCACCTTTGGGCGTGCACTTCGCGTTTGCTGGGGTGCTGCGTGGGGTGGCGGTCGCGCCTTCCGAGAAAGGAGATCGGGAGCGACGTCGAATATGACGTGGACAGCGACTTGGTAGGCGGAGGGACATGCGAGGGCATGTGGGGTGCGTCGGTGCCACGAAACGTGCGCGGTGAAGAATGGCTGTGCCAGCTATGGCGCGCCAGCTGTTGACGACAGTGGCGGTGCGTGGCTTCCGTCGGGCAGCATCTCCCCAGCAAAAAACGTAAAATGCATCGTCAATGCCCAGGGCGCCGCTCGTATTTGTAGGCGCGTGGGACACGAGGCCCCCTCAGGCCTTCCGTTTCGGATTTCCGTGCAGGGTCCGCGCGCCGACTCGCGGCTGTTCGATCCGCGCATCGAATGGTGGCTGCACGTCGAAATTGTCGCGAGGGGGGCCTGGTGCGTCGAAATGTGACAAAAATGTCCCTACGGGCTGGCCCTTCCCGGACGTCATTGGAAAACGGGCCCTTGTTCTGGGCCCCTCGCGTTCGTGTCTTCGGGTTCGCGGGCCCCGGTGGACGGGGTCTCAGGTGTCGGCGGGGGGCAGTTTATACTTTCCAGGGGTGAGGGGGGAGAACCACGGGAGGGGGGAGGGGGGCGGGGGGCTGGGGAAAAGGGGAGGTTGGAGGGGTTCGCGGCAATTCACATCTCCTGGCTGGCGAGTGGGGTCTGTGGCCATGCGAGGGGACACAGGCGGGTCTTTCCATGGGGTGCGACGACAGTCTGACGCTCAGCTGCCTCGGGTCTGGGACAGCCCTTTCGCATCTCAAGCCTGACGAGCGCATTCGCGCTCGACGTCCCGTCAGCGACATCCTCCATCGCCTTTTCTGCTCCGCTGCTGCGCCAGGCAATCATGTGTTATTTTCGCACCTGCGCGTGCTCTCCCTGCGGCCGCGCAACGGCAACAGATTGCTGCTGCTTTCGCGAGAGCACTGCGCATGATTGTTGTAGTTTGTCGGGATCCGAACTTCCCATCTCGCTAGGCAACCACACGCCAAGCGCCATTTTTCATTTGGCTATTGTTGGTTTCGAGCATGCGGTGACAATGGCAACCCCCCTTGCCCCGATGATAGAGACGTTTCCCGGAGGCGGCCGGATTGTTTGTTACTGAACGAGGCCATGTTTTCGTGTGGAGGTTGTCGTCACGAAACATGCGGCGCTCACGCCGAAGAAACGCCATCGTCATTGCAGCGAGCGGCGCAGGCGTTCTCCGTCGCGCGCACGCAACGTGTGCATTCTTCGTTCTGGAGCCCTCGGATGTTGCACGCACAGTCCTGGCATTTGTCGTGCGGAATGCGATATCGCATCCCTCACGACCAGCGCCAGGAGCGCGCGCTCAACATCCATGGCCTCTATGGTGGATCATGTGCACGTTGTGTGCGCGGGATGGAGACGACGGCAACTCTCCCGGGATTGACGCCATAGTCTCTTCGGGGAGGGAGGCTCAAGTGTTGCGGCGAGAACACGAACATGGAACGACTACCCCCTCCTGTTTATGAATACCTTACCTCTCACTGCACGCCACGTGGACGGCGGACATCCTTCCCACCGTGGCCACCGCGCAATGCTTAGTACCAACAGCGGTCGCGCGCAGCCCATGCGTCTCCTTTGTGATAACCAACCTCTAATCTCTTTGTTGAGAACAGCAAACGAGCGAGGGAAGTGTTTCGAAGGGGTTTCGTGTTCCGCTGGGAATAGCCGAT